GGAAAGGACAAAACTTTTGAGCTAAAACAAGATAAATGGTTTTCAGTGGGGAGAAAGTTGACCATAAAATTTTAGGGGTGTGGTAAATTTGATTCAGAACTTGGCTGTGTTATAGGCACATAGCTATATACTTTTTCCCAAAAATCCAAAAAGAATGAATGTGAAATGTAAAAGTTGAGAAACATTCTAGAATTTAATATTAGCATATATAAAAGGCTTTACTCATATATTTTTCCAAATGTTCAATATTGATCTTTATGGAGAAAAAAATCTCAGATCACATATTAAAAATAGCAGTCATGTCTCTTTAGTTTTCTTTTCATCAGAAACAGTTACTCCTTTATATTTTATGGCCTTGGCTTTTGTTGTTATTGAATTCAGAATAGTAGTCTTACAGGGTTTCCCTCATTTTGGGTTAGTTTGATTGGTTGGTTGGTTGGTTTTAGTTTTTTGAGACAGGGTTTCTCTGTGTAGCTTAGGAGCCTATCCTGGCACTCGCTCTGGAGACCAGGCTGGCCTCAAACTCAGAGAGATCACTTGCCTCTGCCTCCCGAGTGCTGGGATTAAAGGCGTGCGCCACCACCGCTAGGCCCTTGGGTTAGTTTGATATTCTCTTAATGAGTAGATAGGTGGGAGGCAGTGCGTCCATGGACACTTAAAGTGTTACAGCACTGATACGGTGGTCAGAAGACAACCTGGGATGTTGGTCCTCACCTACCTTCTACCTTGTTTGAAACAGGGGGTCTCAGTCTTGTTCACTACTGTGCTTGACAGGCTAGCTAGCCCATAAGCTTGTCTGCTTCCTGTCTGAAGGAGTGCTGAGATTATAGATGTCCAAAGTGCCCAGCTTTACATGAATTTTCTGGATCCAAACTCATATCTACACGCTTGCACAGCAAGCGCTTTTTCCCACTTAGCCATCTCCCCCAACCCAGAACAGATGTTTTCCTGTTTGGGGCAAGGAAACTTCAAAGGCTAGTCATTCATCCTAAATATGTCCCTTTATCTTAACTTTTTCATTAGGATGTGTGGGTGTTTGGCCTGAATGTATGTCTGTGCACCATGTGAGTGCCTAGTGCCTGTGGAGGTAGGTAGAGGGGAGGGCATCAGAGCCTCTGGAACTGAAGCTACAGACAATTATAAGCTGCCATGTGGGTGCTGGGAATTGAAATTATTAACAATCCTACTATTTATAAAAAGTTCACCTGCTAGTTTAGTAGCCTTTTGATGTGTCTTCCCTGTGTCAACTAGTTAGTTACTCTTGAGTTTATTGACTGTAAATTTGTTAACTAGAGCAGTTGGGTCCTTTTCTTGCTGGGATTCCTTCTTACCAAGGGTGCAGACAGTAAGTAATTGAGCTCTTCTGAGTATTAGTGGAGAGGTTCCTGAGGACCACCAAGGTGACCTATTAGGTTCATGTGACAGTTTCATCATTCATTGTTACTCTCATGTTGAGAGTGATAATTTGTCTCTAATTCACTGGCACTTCACATTTCTCCTTCAATATTAGGCAACAACCAGTTCTTTGCCCCTATATCCTAATCACTTAGCACTGTTACCTCTGTTTTATGTAACCATTGTGCTGGGTATTTCATTTTGGTTGGCTTTCTTTTAATGGGTTGGTCAGAATAAGTGTTTGGTTAATTATCAAAAAAGAACTAGCTCTGACCGAGTTCACAGGGTTTTTTTTCCTTTTTCTTGTTAAGAATTCTTCTTAACAATAGCACCTAGCCTAACACTCTGGCAGAGACAGGTAGATCTCCATGATCTTTCTACATAGTGAGTTCTAGGCCAGCCAAGGCTGCATAGGGAGACCCTGTCTCAAAAACAAAATTACCTAGTTTCCTCATTTGTAGTGCTTTATATTCATTAACTCAACTACTCTTAGGGCAGTTCTCATTGCTTTCTTTTCTCCCAAAACAATATATTATATGTTGGTTTACAGCAGACTGGAGATATATAATAGCTTTATACATGCATGAAATTTTCCAGATAAATTCATATTTAGATTCAGGAAATATGTCCCAAATCTAAAAATAAAGAAATGCCCATTAGAATGTGATGATCTTATATAATGTAACAAAATAATTGGGATTTTCTGTGTTTGTTTTGTAAATGGTTAACATTTGTTGTCCTTGTTTTGTTCATTAGAGAAGGTCTCATTAGACAGACCAGGCTGGCCTCAAACTTGAAACTCAAGAGAACCTCCTGCCTGTCTCCCAAGTGCTGTGATTAAAGGCATAAACTACCATGCTCAGCTGGTTTTGAGCACCTTTGAATCTATTTTTAATTTAATTATTCCTCCTTAGTATATAAAAATCCCATTGATATTTTAGGATGTTGAGCTCCTGTTGGAAGTGATAGTGACAAAAAATAGACTCTACTCTTAAATCCTAGACTAATGTTACTTGTGTTAATAGGAATTATGCTGCTTTTGTGTAAAAAAGAAAATCCAGTGTGAGATGAGAACAAGAGATTGATCCTTGTAAGAGTCCAGACTGGGAGATCAGTATGAAACAGACATTCACAGTAGTTGAAGACTGATTACTTAAAGAGAAAGTAATAATCACCATTGAAACTGTTATCAGCCAAATGTGACCTAGGACTTTCTTATCAGCCCAGTGTCAGAGTATGATAAACTAGACTTCATGTCAATGTGATCCTTCTGGGTAGCATGCAGACAGACAGAATTCCTTCCACCCAGATCCCAACATGAATTTATTTATATACACAGGCATATGGTTTTCTTTACATGTGTGTATGTCTGATGTATATAAATCTTCAAATGCATAAATATACATGGTGTTCTAGCTTACAGAATTAGAAATGTAATTCAGTTTACTCCCACAGAATAAGATTGAAGATAATGAGAACTGAATTAAAGCTTACTTTCTTTCACAGAATTCCTCAGAGAGAGAAGACTGTAATAATGGCGAACCCCCTAGGAAGATAATACCAGAGAAGAATTCACTTAGACAGGTATGAAATTCAGTCTTACTTAAAATAAAAAGCTTCCAACAACAAAGCAAAAGACAGGAAGCCTTTGACTGTCGTTCTTTAAACACTGGAGTTTAAATCAAGAGCCTGTATCCTGGAGTTAGTCTGGCCATAGCCATCAATTTCCAGTCGGGTAGCATTATTTCTTAGCCATTTAAAATATCCTGGATGCAAAAGTACAAGAGTGTGTGTGTGTGTGTGTGTGTGTGTGTGTGTGTGTGTGTGTGTGTGTGTGTGTATTAAGGTAAAAAGGTCTTGTTTAGGCAAGATGACCTTAAGTGCTTTGTAGAATGTACATGGAATAGGTAACACTAATTTATATTTCCCAGTAAAGAGTATTTATACATTTTAAATTTAAATTAAATAGCTCATTAAATAGCCCAGACTAGAAGGCTTGATATAATAGGCCTCCAGCTTCAGCATCCTGAGTGCTGGCATTATAAGCCTGTATCTCATGCTTGGGCAAGGTTCATCATACATTTACATAATAATAATAACAATAGTAATAAAAGTAGCAGATCTGTAGCAAAGATGGCTTTTTTTAGTTTGAATTTGTTTAATTTATTTAGTTTTTCTAAAAGTGAAGTCCACTATTGATGATTACTTTTAAAACTTTTTTTTGTGGGACTGTGTTTGAAGTGCTTGCCATGGAAGCAAGAGGACCAGAGTTCAGATCCCCAGAACCCATGAGTGTGTCAGGCCACCTGTAATGGAGCACTCTGAAGGCAGAGACAGGGGATCCCCGGAGAGGTTCTCAGTGACTAAGGTGAAGAGTGATGAGGACCTCTGCATACATATACATGAATGCTTGCATAGTACACACTCAGGGGAGAAAGAGAAAACTATAAACCCCTTTCCTTCCTTGGGTTTCTGTGCCATGCTTCCCAGAGATAATGTATTTTACTTATCAAAGTTCAGTCTTATGATTTTTTTAAATTAAAATATCCAAAATAGTGACTAAAAAAATAAAATGCCCTCACTACTATAACCTGTAATACCTTCATTATTTACTAGAACTAGACAAGTAATTAAATTGTTTAGTTATTAAATTATGGCTAGAAAATAAATGTCACAATTATTTTAGTATAAAATTATATAAAATGAGTGCCAGCAGCAATACAAATAATTTTAATTTGTTGTGTTTATGGCCTTGTTCTAGCACATTGGAGAGCAGTGATGTAGTTTTTGATGGATACCCACAATGAGCATATTTATTTCATTTAATCCTGTGTTAACCCTGCTGAGTTAGTAGCTATGTAATTTCCAGTTTCCTGATGAAGCTGATGGAGACTTGAAGGGCTTAGACTTGACCAGAGCTGTTCATTGGTTTGGAACTCAGACCTTACTGTTTCCAAAAAATTCCCACTTCTGCCTCCAGAGTCCAGTTTTTGTAGCTCTAAAATAAAGGGAAAGAACTTGAAAACATGCTGCAATCATTTTTCACTTATTATATGTTAGCACTTTTTTGGATAGCCTCTTTTCCAATTTTTTTATGAAAATAATTGTTTTAAATAGAATTGAGTCAATATAGAAAGCTTTCGAAACAAAAACAAATTAATGTTGAAACAGTGTAGTTACTTGGAGATAGACACCAGATTTGTATGCTAAATGAATAGAACAATGTTGTGTAAGGTAAACTTGGAGATGGAGACTCCCTGTCCACTCTACAGAAGCAACTGTCAAAAAACAATGACGCAACAAAAAGTTTTGGCAACTTTATTTAAGCTAACAAACGAATTTTCACTCTGCAAAGTTATAAATTAATTTTAATAGGCTGATCCAGATGGTCCATTTGGAAAATGGATAGGCTGATCTGTTGAAAATTAAACTAAATTTATCTCTCTCATACTTCAAACTGAAGCAAGAGAGAGAATCGTGCCTATTAAGTCCAGCGCATACAGATGGACCAGCAGGTCACACATGGGACTAATCTGATTCATTTTAAAAATAAATGCATACATTATTGAATCATTTTCTTCTTGCAAGATCTGTGCAGTATTTGAAAGAGATTTAATTTTTTTTTCTCGTTGCTATTTTAGCAGGTTCTCACCCCCTCCACTTTAATTTACCTGCCCCCCACCAATTTCTTCCAAATGATCTTTCTAATATCTGTCATTTGGGGTTGAGATCCAAGCTCTGGAGATTAATTAGGTCATGAGGCTCTCCCCCTCCCTTCTTTGTAAAGGGTTTTATCTCCATTCTCTTTGTGAAGAGCATGAACTCTGTGTTCTTGGAAAGAGAAATGGCCTTTAGAATTAGGGAAGTAGGAGATCCTCCTGGGGCCCTCAGAGCCTTTTAGCTGCTGGGTGTTTTAACAGCCCCATGAATGCAGATTTGTAAATTTATTGCAGTGCCATCTGGTTTTTTGCTCGAACCAGATTACTGTTGGCTTGTGTCTGTCTATTGTGGTGGTCACTCCCTAGGAGCTTGCCCTCTCAATCTTGGGAATGAGTGATGAATAGCGGGGGTCAATAGAAGCGGGTCACAGGGCAGCTGTCCAGGACTGCCCTGAACTTGATTACCCCACTGCTGTTTTTTTTTTTTCTTTTTTTTTTAAGCTAGTACATAATACACAAGCTGTTTAAACTCCTCTTTTTCTCTGTTGCATTTGACAATAAGGAAATGCCATTTGTTATTTTGTTTGTTGTCATGATCTATAGATAAAAAGATGTCAAGGTCAGCCTAAAGTGAGTGTTGCTTCATGGAGTCAGTCTCTTAAGTTGAAATTCATTTGCATGTATTTCTAATAAAATTTCAAGAATCTATTACCCTTAAATATAAAAAATTCACTTGTACTCTATCAACCTAGTATTGTTTGTTATAGCTAAGCCTTATAGTTTATATAGATTATTTTCAGGCAAAGGCTTGCTACTGTTGATGGGACATGGCTACTAATACTAATTTGGAAAGCTGTTTTAATGTTGGAGGAGCTGAAAGAAGGGTTATCACTATAATTCTGAGAGACATCAAAAGAATAATAGAATATTATAAATAACTTAGTGCCAAAATTGACTAGATTAAATGGGAAGATTCTTTGAAAATAGAAATTACAAAATTAACACAAGGTAAAAGAAAAGTTTTGTCTATTAAATATTTCAGCTATCAAAATGTTCATATGGTTTCACTGGTGAGTTTTTTAAAAATTTAAAAACAGAAGTAATAGCAATCTTGTACTACAAGCCCTCTCTTAAAACACAAAAGGAAAGACTACACTTTGGCTTGTAAGACTACCATAATAGCACTTCCAAAACTTGACAGAGAAATTACCAGAAATAGTAAAGGAGAACGTTGAGAGATCCAATTCCTTTTGTCATCATTTGGCATTAAGTATGAACTTTTAAAAAGTACGACATAAATACAATTTTCTTTCTGCTTTTCTCCTAAATTGTGACGCTATGGAAGCCATAGCTGCTGTTTTATAGTTCTTATCCCGTGTGTGACTGAGGAGGGGAGGCCAAGTAGACATGTGAAAGTGCTCTTTACTTTTTGAAAATGTAGCGTTACACATGCAGCTCTTCTTTGCTCACATTGGGGCTAATAGGATCTGTCAGCTCTCCCTTTCTCTGTAATTGAGTAAATTGTGGCTGCTGCCTAATTCTTCTCCCGTCCTCCACCCCTTTTGTGTGTGTGTCCACTTACCATCCCGGGAAGGTGGGCAGTGATAAATAAAGCATTGAGTGGAGCTCTCTCAACTCTTTGAAAGCAGCATGATGCCAGCCCTCTAGTTATATTTCTTTAAGTGTTTACATTTTCCTGTATTCTTTCTCTTGTGTAGCTGGAACCCTGGGGATGCAAAGCCATGAGAGAGGCCAAGAAGCTAACAAAGTAGCTGTCTCCCTTGTTAGCTTGTTCCTTTATTCTTTAAAAACAAGATAAAAACCATCTGGCTCAGGGCGTTACATTCCCTCCCTGGTGCACCTCTATAGATGAGACTTCACCTGCAGTGAGGGTTTGCATTGATGAGGGAGGGAGCAGTAATTCAAGCTTCCATCCTCTTCAAGGATATTTTGCAGTCTTTAAAGGTGCTGACCCACTGAGTTAAAACTGTCAAGGGAGAATAAAAAAGTATCTTCATCCCAGGAGGTAACAGCTGCCAGGTTTTCAACACCTTGCGCGCTGCTGGAAAGAAGTGTCACAATTGTCAGCCAAAAGAAAAATGAATCTGTTGTCATCTTCTGTTAATGACTGGGCTTTACAAAAGGAACTACGCAAATCTTTTGGAAGAAATAAGTAACTGTTTCCCTTGCCTAAGATTTTCTTCTCCCCTGATAAAAATCCCTGCATTGTTCTAAACGTCACCATGGAAGAACGTAATGTTAAAAGAGCTAATGAAAGCATGGGTGGCCTTGGCTCCCTTCTACAGCTGGGCAAGCAGGAAGAAGGTGCACATCACAGACATAGAAAATGACATCAGAGTGTGTGATAACAAAACAGCAACAACAAGTCCTTCATGAACCAGTAAGCTGAGAGAAGACAGGCGGGGTTCTGTGCTTTGGGGGGCAGTTTGTTTTCAGGCAGCCCCCAGTTGGAGAAGTGCAGTGACTTTGCTTTCTCAAGAGTCACTTCTCCCTAAAAGAAAGGAATGAAACCTCCCAGAATTCACTTCCTTTACCAGATCCAGTGTTTGAGTATGATGGCATTCTCTTCTTTCTGATTTGATTAATGGGGGAAAAGGCTTAATGAAGTCCCTGCTATCAGGCAGGCAGTTTTTTCTTCTATTTGTTTTAGGTTAGTCATTTTAATTGTATTGAGTAATTAGAAGGTATACACAGCCAAGGGAGCTTTGTTCTGATAATTGCTCAAGAAAACCCATTCCCTATCTGCTGTTGCTTTGTGTTAAGACACTTCTCCCTCTAGTGGCAATAGTAAGCACTTTGACTTGGCAGTAGGCAAGGTGTAATTGCAACATGATAAACTATGCTTAAGGGACTGTCTTGTAAATACTTTAGGCTTCAGCATTATTTCATTATATGTAAGTTTTA